AGTTATTTAATTTTTCTGTTGGTTCTCTAGTTTTAAAAAATTTCAATTCAGTATTCTAATTTTTTAATGTGATTAAATAGGTCATTTTTTTATAATTATAGTAACTATTATTATTATTATTTTTGTCTTTTTTCTACTTAGACATTGTTCATCATCATTATTTTTTTTCTCTTTGCATCTTCCTCCTCTTACTTATTGCCCCTCGTTCTCTTATACACTACAAACACAAGTTTGTGGTTTTCAGCAAGAGGAGGAGAAAAAGGAAGCCATGGAGGAAGACGAAGACAAAAGACAATAAATAGTACCTAACATAAAAGGACAAAAGAGAATAATGGAATTAACCAAAAAGAAAACAATTGAACTTAGATTTAAAAGTTAATTAAAGAACCAACTTAACTTTTAAAACCTAAAAGAATAAAAAAAATAGATAAAAAAATATTATTTTGTCAAATATATACTTAAATTCTAGAACAAACACATAAGATTATAACCAATAAGCACACAACAACAAAAATATTTTGTCAAGCAATAGAAAAATCTAATTAACAATTTTTTTAACTTCTATCTTTTAATGAATTTCTCAAGATTATAAATAGTCATTTGTTTAGTTTGAGAAAATATTTCTTATTTTTAGAAATAATTATTAAAATAATAATTATCCAGGAAGTCAATCTCAGGTTAATTACATGCCTAAAAGAGATGAAGTAATAATTAATCAACAGTAAATCGCCTCGTAATTTACCAATTCGACAGCATTTTCTTTTAATAAATCATGATTACAAAAAGGGTTTTGGTCACAAACCAAAATTTGGTAGACGTACAATTAGAAAGTGCATGTATTAGAAATAAGTCATTTTCTTTATTGCAAAAAAATGAGTCATAATTAGAAAGGATGATGAGATTGATCTTGATTTCATTAAAGTGCAGCTCCCGGACGGGAGGGGGCAGATAATTAAACAAAATCAAGCACTTCAACCACTCTGCGCAGAAACAAGTGAGTGCGCTTAGGCCACGACCACTTTTTTCCGCTTAATGTATCGAACTTAATTAAATAAACCATAATGTTTTTTTTAAGAGATTCATAATAAATCATATACAATAAGAGAAACAATAATAAAATAAGAAAAAAGAACAAAATGAATTGTGAGAGTCAATCACCTGCACAATCACAATTCATATCTCATAGTTTGCTTAATTGAACTAACTTGAGATTTTCCTTTCTCTATCATTTTTTTTATCAAGAGGATTTAGTTCTTAAAACACGTGGTTTTGAATTTAGCTTTAAATTTCATGTGTAACAAAATAAATGTCACGGATGGCCTTTATTTTTAATGTTAATCATGCTACAAAAAATTAACCTAAATTGATCAAGGGAGATATAAAATATTTAAACATAAATAATGAATAATTAAAATTTATATTATAATATTTTATGTTATTTATTTCGTTTGAAAAAAATAGTAAATATTAATTTAACTTAAAAAATTAACACTCATCCCTTTTTTGCTGAATCTCTCTGTACAAACACATTTTAATGTTGGGTTTTGTTAAGCTATAAAGGCTCATCATGAGTTTGAGCATGTGTAAATTTCTTTTATAGAAAAAGTACATGTTTATTGTATTAAAATTATAAAAATAGAATAAATATTATTTTTTGATAAAGTTTACAATTATTAGTTTTTAATTTCTTTTTTATTTTCTATTATAATTGAAAGGATGCATAAAGAACCAAAAGGTTATTGAAGCATCAACAATGTTTCACACGAATACATTACTGTATTGATTTTAATTAGTATTTCATTTTTTGGCGTGCTGGATGGACGTATAGTGCGTCAAAATTTGTCCTACGCGGACTACTGTCTGGTGACAGGCATTGGCATTAATTCTGATACCCAATTAAGCAAATGCCTTCTCAGCATAGTGAAAATGAAATCAAGAGGTCGAATTTGTGCAGTGAAAGTGATGACATAGGTGAAAAAGAGGCATCAAATTGGAAAAGGCAGAGGAGGAAGCGCACCATCAAAACTTATTTCAACAAGACATGGAAAGTGCTAACTATGTACTGATGGATGAACCTATTGGTCTTGCGTGAAGTTAATTAGCTGTTTGATAAAATATACCTAGTGCAAGTCTACAAATACAACGAACAGTGTATTAACACTGTTATTAAAGTGCAATAATATAGAATGGGTTAATAAGGGGTGGTGAAAGGAAAATGACAATATGTAATAAGCTTTCCAGGATGTCGAAATGCATTATCAATTTCCCTCATTCTCTCTTCAGTTGTCCCACTCAGAGTATGATGGGATATAATGTTTCAACTAAAATTTGAAAGAAATTGTAAAGCTATATAAATAATTTACATAATCTAAGGAAATTGTAGAATGGCTATACAAAATTAATTAGTTGTAATATTTAGAATAGGGTAACATTCCGGATATAAACACTACGACACATGATGTTAAAAGAGTTATGGATAGAGTTTATGGCATGGAAATGCCATCCTTACGTCTTGTACCTTATACAAGAGCTCTCTTGATTATCATTTAAATCACCGAACATGGATATCAATGGTGGAAAGAAGAATCCAAAAAAAGGAAGCAAAAAACAAGAAATAATAAATGGATCCAAACTCAAGAAAAAAAAAAAGAGATTTCATCATAAGATTCATAACAAGGAGAGAATTAGAATCTCCTATTACATCAGCCAAAAGAATCTTTTCTTATTTTTATTTAAGCTTCCGGAATTGCTTAGAATCATTAGGTTTTTAGTGTGTGGTGCAAATTCAAAATTGGGTGCTACGGGTGGCTCACCGTACGTATGTGTATGCATGGTGACATGGTGCGCATCCCAATTCTACGAAGTGGCCACCAAGTTTTCCACTTAGTCAAAGTGGCAACTGTCAATTTTTCCACAAAACCATGCTTGTCCACTCGCTGCTGTGATGCTGCTTACGATTTGCATTTGGTTGTTTCTTAATATTGCACTATTGCTCCTCATTATAACTTTAATTCCCTTCTCTCTTTAATTCTCTTTGCCCAATTTTTTATACTAAAAAGTAGTTTTCAAACCACTAATTATCAATATTCACGTCTGGCTCGATTATCTTTTTCAGCTCTAATGTTTTGGTCTCTAACCCGTGAATTTAATTTGGTATTTCTTCGTTATGACAAACTTGATTGATTGTTTCCTGTTTTATGATTTGTTGATTTTCATTTGTTGCCATGGGATTAACTTAGAATCTTGAATTTCCTCATAATTTAGATGCAGATGCTAGATTCCTTATTTTGTTGGGATTGAAAGAAAGTTCGGCTCTACCGCGAGATTAACTTTATCACACAATCTGTATTCAACATGTTATGTCAGGCTGTACTTGCCCTAACTGTACTTAACCGTATGGTACAATCAACTGTCACTTTTTTCTCTCTTTAACAAAAGGAATATGACATGAATGATCTTCTTGATCAAAGAGTTCAAGACAAACTTCCATAAGTGTTTACATAATTTGCGTAATTTTTTTGCCGTCCACCAACTTATCATAATAATTAGTGCTTGGGAGAGAAAGTAGTGCAGATGTGATATTCTTTTCATAAGTAGAAAATTAATTCAGCTCATTTAAATTCATTAGGATCTAGGAGTTTGAGTAGTGAAATATTTGATTAACTGATAATAATTCAGAAGTCATAATTTTATTTATTTATTTTGCATTCTCCCTTTATTGTAAAATAAAATAATGGAAAACGAGTTTTGCAGGGTTCCTTTCCTTATTCTTTTTTAGTGCACTAAACCACTACAATATTTAAAATCTTGCATTTGATTATGCAAACTTTTATATACAGGCTGAAATATCTCTTTAACTCCTTTAATAAAAGTTCTTTTTCGCTGATAAAAATTTAGACAATGCAAATTTTGATGAATATCAAGCTAATCAATAAAAGAAATTGCCCTTGTGCATTATGTTCGTGCAATTTTTTTTTATAAACTAAAACGATACAATTTTAAAAATAAAATAATTATCATTATAAGCATATTATACAAATAATATAGATTGATCAATTAATTGATATTTTTAATTATGATAAAAATAAAAATATTTTTTGTTAACTTTACTTTTTATGATTGATTCTTAAAAATATTTTTTAGAAAGTATTTATTTTATTTTTGTATGTTGTTATGATAAATGTTCTATTCCTCTATAAAAATAAATCAATTTGATTTATTTAAAGTCTAATCTTAAAAATTGACGTCAACAATTTTCACAAGAAAAGAGTTATGGACCAACCTAAACCAATTACGTTTTACACACGACACAAAATTCCCTTTCGTATGTAAAGTACACAGTGAGAAGATAAAAAGGTAAACTATTTTTGTTAATAAAAGACGATAACAAATAAATTTTTTTTATGATATTAGTTAAAAAATATTTTTTTTAAAAATATTATTAGTTTTTTAATTTTTTAGATAACTCAAAGAGAATTATCTATTAAAAAAATTTAATTATTATTATTTTTATCAATATCCTTATCACACTACTTTAAAACACTTATAAAAATAGATATACAAAACTGCACTTAAAAAACATGATTCGCCATATAAAATTAAGATGATTATGTTAAATAAAAAAATTGTATAGATATTAAGCAGAAATTCACGTGATATATACACATTAATCACCCCTTTAGATTGATTAGACAGCAAACCCGTTAATCATTAAAATAATTATTGATTAGTGTTTTAAAAGTATTGATTAAAAAAACAACATAATTTTTTTATTAAAAAAATATAAAACATTCTCTACATAATTTTTAATCCGTACACTTTAAAAAAACTCATTTTTGAAATATATTCACCGGTTGGGTATAAATATTAAGATGGGCAGCATTGTTTTCGCAGTGAAATTGCAGAAACACAAAAAGCATAGGCAATTTTCACTTCTCACACACCTTAAAGATCGAGGGAGGGAGAGAGAGAGAGAGAGAGAGAATAACAAGAAAAAGATCATGGGGACGCGGTTCAGAAATGCAAAGCCATATCTGCTGTTATTGGCAGTTCAATTTGGCTCTGCGGGCATGTTCATTTTTGCCATGGATGCTATCAAGAAGGGGATGAGCCATTATGTTTTCATTGTGTATCGTAATGCCATCGCTTCTGTAACTCTCGCTCCCTTCGCATTTGTTCTTGAAAGGTCTTTTCTCCTAATAATCTTCCTTTTATTCGCAATTAATAATCATCAACCATGCATGCACACCATCAAACTCATACCTTTTACGTTCGTTTCCGGTTATAATTTTGTATGCAATAGTTTATAATCTAAAGTAGAAAATAAAGGCATATTCAGGTTTACTAAAAGAAAATAATAATTTTGCAGGAAAGTTAGGCCAAAGATGACTGTGCGGGTATTTTCAGAGATCATGGCACTGGCTTTCTTCGAGTAATGATTTCAACTTATAAATTCCAGTTTATTATTATGTACCATTTATTGCAACTCCTTTCCCTACGTAAAACTACAACATGGTTTATGAAATTAAATATATGCTGTTAATTACTTACAGAATAATACTGGATCAGTGCTTTGCCCTTTTGGGCATGAAATTCACGTCAGCATCTTTCCTATCTGCTGTGATGAACTCCGCACCCTCCATTACTTTTGTCATGGCTGTTATTCTAAGGTATGTGATCAATCAAATAACGCATTAACTACAAACTTAACCAATAAATACAAAACACTCTGAAAATAATGGCTTTAGGTCCAATTCCCAGTTATATTATGTTTATAAAATAAAATATTATGATAGTGTATTCATATTTATATATAATTTTTAAAGATTATTAAATTTAAATATTTATTAAATAATAAAAAGTTATCCTTTTGTTTTTAAATCTAACTCTCAACTGTTGTTGAGTTTAGGATTAGGATCTACAAGTATCACTTTAGATTACCTTTGAAGTTTGACAGGACTTAACCTTGAAATGGAGTGATGTCCTTATTAAATTTTATGTAGAATTTTTTAAAAGAAAAGATAAATAAAAACCTCAAAAGAGAAAGCAATTATAAATTCCAGTCTCTTGATCTCCGTCATATGACTTCCGTTGTCACTTTCTATGTCTGCCAGCATCCACTTAAAACAGTAGATAAATGCACTGTGCTTCCTCTTCTAACGTTTTAAATTGCCACTGTCTATGTCTAAATCTCACAAAATTCTGTTACCAAATCAAGTGCGACGCAAAGAATTTTTATAATTACCAACAATCAAACTAAGTGAAGATCTTATACATCAATGTTTTGTATCAGATATTACTTCACCGAACAAAGACCGTTCTACTTCTTATATGTGTGTATACTTATACAATGACGTTGTTAAAAAAATTACATAACTACCTTACAATTTTTCATAATTGTTATATTTTAATATTATTGTTTTAACGTGGGTTCAAAATCACAAATTAAGAAATTAATAAATAATAAATATTTATTAAAAATTATTTTTTTTAATATTATCAATTCATTAGATCTTATTATAAATTTTCAAACACGTTAAAAAATATTTTAATATATATTAATTATTTATAATAAAATTTAATGATTAATATACATTTATTTTAAAATTTTAATTTATATTAATACGATACATATAAAGTGGTAGATAATAAGTTAAGAGATCATTAAAAGAGTTGAGAATTTTTATTATTAAGTAGTTTGAATATATGAGACCTACAATAAAACAATAAATTACAAGTAAAATATTTAATGAATTGCCTTGATGAAGTTAACTTCAAAATTTTTCATTTTTAACTTGAATCTCATTAAAAGCTAAGAATCTATATTATTGATCATAATAAATACTACTTTAAAATTCCGTCTATGATAAAATTTGTGCTAAAATCTAAGTTAATATCTTTAATATATTTTAAATTAATTTTTTAAATTTAAGTAAATCCGCGCAACAATATCATAACTAGTATTATGTATGTGCGTGTGTAAAAAAGAGGTTCAAATTTGAGAAATTTAATGGAAAAGAAATTCAATTTAAAATATTTAGGGAAGGACCATTTTCTATAATATTAAATTTTCTTTACTTGCTAATTAATATTGATTTTTTTATTGTATAAACTAAGTTCATAAATTAAAAAGTCAAAGATAGAAGATTTTTATTAAAAAATTTAGAACACAGATAAAAGAAATTGTTTATATATTACATTTTTTTAAAACTTTTTTGACTTGATAACTAGCTTGTATAATGCAGTAATGCACAGAATATATAGAAAAAATTGAATTAATATTTATGAGATATAGAAAGGTTGTGAAATCATAATGACCACGCATTGAAACTACAAAATTAAGTTTCAGCCATGATGTAGATACGCACAATCTACCTTTTTCTTTTCTGAGCTAATCTACCACCCGAAACAGAGTCCCATACTTATGCACGTACACAGACACAAACGCAAGGAAGACAAAAACATTTGATTTTGTTGCATTGCACGCCAAAGGACACCAAATCTCGTACATTTAACCTGGAATGATTTTTTTTATTTTTTTTTTGTGGTCGTGAATGGATTTCTTGTTTGAATCACTATTTTGAACAGCTATATTGTACTCTACACTGTATTACTTCTTTTTACAATTTTTTTCTATCCATATATCACATTTATCCTAAAAAACGCGGGGACGCCATAGGGTGTATCTTATAGATGTCTAGAAAATATTTTAAAACTTGGAATAATGGTCAAAACTTTCACATCAAATACCATTGTTTTTTAATTTATTTTATACTAAGCAGATTGGAGCACATGAAGATTAATGAGATAGCATGTCAAGCCAAAGTAATTGGCACAGTAATAACTTTCGGAGGCACCTTGTTAATGGCACTGTACAAAGGCCCCGTACTTAGTTTTTTGGGATCATCAACCAACCATGTCGCACAGCCTGAGAACACCAGCAATCCTACAGGCAACCATTGGATCATAGGGACATGTTTCCTCCTCATTGGTTGTGCTGGCTTCTCTGCATTTTACATATTGCAAGTAAGTTGTAGCAAGAGGCAACATGTGGAACATATGTACATATACCATATACTTGTGTTTTTCTACTAAATTTAAACATCAAATAATAAAATCACATATCTTTTGGTATATTATAGGAAATGATGCATGGTTTGGTGATTTGTAGGCCATAACATTGAGAAAATACCAAGCAGAGATGTCCTTGGCCACTTGGGTTTGCTTCGTAGGTGCACTTCAAAGCTCTGTTGTAGCAGTCTTCGCAGAGTGGCACCAACCTCGTGCTTGGTCCCTTGGTTGGGATACAAGACTTTTCGCTCCTGCTTATGCGGTCAGTGTTTTTGCATAGACAATATGGTTAAGTAAGGGCAAAACTTAAATATTTTTCTTTAAATGTTATTGGTTCTGCTTATAAATTAAAATTAAAATTTTATTTTAATAAAATATTTATATTTAATCGCAGATTATCAAGATAAAGTTTAAATTTTGATTGATAAACAAAACTAAAACATATATGAAAGTGCACTTAAGTTTTATCAAGTATGTAACTATCAATAACATTTAACTATTTGAGTAAAAAGTTAAAACATAAAAACACCACCCAAGTTGCAGTATTTCACCAGTAGTCCTTTTATTTACCTTCTTCTTAATTTATTGTTACAGGGAATAGTTACATCTGGAGTCCAGTATTACATACAAGGCAAGGTCACAAAAGTTATGGGCCCCGTTATTGTGACTGCTTTTAATCCCTTGCGTATGATCATTGTCTCGGCCTTGGCCTGCATCATCTTATCTGAGCAACTCTACCTTGGAAGGTACTTAAAATTAAGCCACATCCTACAATTCGATACGCTTCTCATCAAAATTGTTCCCCCTTTTATTTTTATAAATATATATTGACCATATTCCCTTTTTTTTTCTATTGAAATTTGATGATATCAGCATTATTGGAGCAGTAGTTGTGGTTTTTGGGCTTTATCTAGTTGTGTGGGGAAAATCTAAAGAATGCAAAGGTCGATTGGCACCGTCCCCTACAGAGGATAACTCTACACAGGACCAACAGCAGCTACCGGTAACAGTTCCCAAAAACGATATTAGTGATAGTAATGCTAAAGTAGACCTTCACTGTAATGAAAGAAACGATGTGGTGGCCACAATATCAAAATGATTTAGTCAGAAAATTTGAATGGGCCTCAACTTTGTTTGATCAAACGTTGGTGTAGCATTTTCGTACAATTAGTTCCACTGATCTTGGGTCAATGCCACGCCCATGCTACTCATACCATGCAAGTTGAGTACCCTGATAAATTACTTTTGACTTTGCCAGGAGATATTTACTCAATTTCTGACTAATTTGCTGTCACGTACGTTCAAATTTAGTATTCCATTTGAAGTTTGACAATTCAATACAAGTCTATATCAATCTACCTGTTTATATAAAAAAATATTTACCATATTTAAATGTAAAACCTACTAAATGTCTAATTATCTTTACACGTATGATACAATGAATTGACATTAAACATTAAGCTTTATAAAATAATTTCTTTAATAAATTTATACGAAAATAAATTTTATCAATTCATCCGTTATTTTTTAAGTTTTAATATTTATAAATGTATAAATTAATTGAAAGTTTAATATAAATGATTAAAATAATAAATTAATTTTTATAAAAAATTATTAAAGTATAATTTACAACGATTAACATCTAATATTTATTTATTAGAATACAAAGAATGTAAATCCTAAATTTTAAAAAAGAAGTAGCATGTTAAGATTATTAGAATTTAATTATTTTAAAGTTAAATTATAATGTTAGTCTCAATATTTTTTTATTTATTTTAGTCTCTATACAAAAAATTTATAATTTAACCCTTACATAAAAAGATATTTTTGAATTAGTCTTTATCATTTAAAATCTTGTTGATGACGTTCAATGAAAGGAACCAAAATATAAAAATATCATATAAAATTTAATTATAAAAATAATTTATAAATAAGTATTAAATATAAGGACTAAATATTTATTCTAATAAAAAATTTTAAAATAAAACTTATTTTTAAAAATAGGTACAAAATAAAAAAATAATGAAATTTCAAGAAACTGATCACTTATATTTTTAAAAGATAAAAAATTAAAAAATTATTAATTTCACTCTTTAAATTAAGTTTAAGCAATTAATCATAGTAAAATTTTATTAAAAAATATTTTATTACACTTTGATAGTAATCAAATGTGTATTCTAATTCGATATTAAAAAAATGAAGTATCAAATAAAAAAATATAAAATTTTAAGTGACTAAAAATTTATATTTACAAGCAAATATATATATATATATATATTATAGTTTTATATCTTAAGAATAATTATTTTTAATATAATTTTTAAAAAAAATATTCTACAGTAAATGATGTACAATAAAAAATTATGATGAAGATGTTAACATTATATAATAAAACATAAAAATATTAATTTTAGTCTTTAAAATTGAGTTTAAACAACTAAGTTATTTAAATTTAAAAACAAAAATAAAAAAATTGAAAAAGTGATACAAATAATTAATAATTTAGGTCATCGCCCATTTAGACCCAACCAATAAAATATAACGAATAAAATTAAAAATAATAATAATGAAATACTAAAAAATAAAAAGATCAGAAAATAAAAATAGAATAAGGTGCTTCTAGCAAAACAAGAATAAAATGAAATGCAAAGGCAGATACATACAATAGAATCATTTGTAAAAACAGTTTCACAGTTCCTTCGCATTTTTGGCCGAAACAAATTTACAACGCACACACATTAACGGTCTACAATCATCCCCCACTGCACCTCATCATACACAAGCAAGGTATAGCATATATAATTTTTTGTTTATTTAAAATTAGTATTTAATATATATATATATATATATATATATATATATAGTTATTATTGATTTAAAATTAGTTATTTTTATGCAATACTTAAATTTAAATTAATGATATTTACCTTCCCTCTCCTCATCCCTGTCACCATCTCAACTAAAACGCACGCTTACCCCTAAAATCCATAGAAAATCAGTGCTAAGTAGGTGACCTTTTTGGTTTTTTTTTTCAATTGTAGGTTTTTATTTATTATTTTTGGTTAAGTTGTCAAGAGTAGGTGAGTTCAAGTGCTATTGGTGTTTGGGTCCTAGTAGGCCCAATAGGATCTAGTCTCAAAGTCAAAGATGAAGAATATTGAGGACATGGGCTCTTGTTTGTTTCTCATTTTGTAATCAAAATAACCATTAAATTTTAACTTTCACGACAAAAAAAAATCAACTTTCTAAAAAAACAGTACCAAAAAAAAAATCTGAAGGGATAAAAGAAAACATGATAAAAATTTAAATATGAAAAAATAAAAGATAAAATAATAAAATTGTTAATGTATTTAAAAATATTCTTTATTACTTTATTGATATTCTTCGCTTAACAAACTAATTTATACATTATTAATTAATTCATTTTTATGGTTAATTAATTTTTCGTGTATTCTTACTTTGATTTATAATATTAACGTATATTTTTTTTTTATTTTTTTTTACCTTCCTGCAATATGAGTCATAATACAACTTATTTAATATTTATAAACACACTTTCTTAGTTTTTAGTGAATTTTTAAAATAATAAGTATAAATAAAAGTAAACTACCCTTCTCTCTCTTTCTCTTTAAATATTTCAATTTTTATTCAAGTGAGTTTGTTTATTATTTTATTTAAACAATAATATCTTCAGTATTAATGTAAAACTTTTTTACTTTCGCACGTTACAAGAAAAGCAAATTAAGACTTGTGTATAACGTGCACCACCTTTTGTTTATTGCAAATGTGAAATTTTTTATTCATTTTTAAAAATCAAGTTGTTTTTTTTTCCTCTTTTAGTATTGAAAAATAATTCATACAACACTTTACAACATTAATTCGTTGTATCACTACTTACATATGTTGTATGGGTCATAAAGCTTTACATATAATTGATCTACAGTCTAGGCAATATGAATTTACTTTAAAAAATATTATCTGTCCCCTCTTTAAATAAGCAATTATTGTATAAATTTACATATGTATACGTTTTAAACTTTGTGCAATATCAACTTTTTAAAATTATATATTTTTTTTCTTTTAATTAATTTAATCTAAAAATATCACATAAATTAGTTTAATATTTTAATCCACAGAACAATGTACAGACGTTAATACACAACTGGTAATTTAATTTTTTCAAAATATAATTTTCTCTAAAGTTAGAAACAACTAACTCACAAGCCATGCATGTTTCTAAAGAACTACGAGCTTGAGTACATTATACTTGAGCATACATAGAAATAATATCAAATTTAAAATTTTGACCATTTTTTCTTTCTATTTTTTTTTTTGTAAATGTTTTATTTTATTTTTAAAAATTACAATAAAAGATTGACAAACTTACTATTAATTTGCGCATTAAACTTGATATATTATTTTAGAATAAATTGATGTTAACGTATTTCTTATTCATAACTCTTAAATTAATTTTTTTAAGAAGGGTTTTTTAATAAACTAAAATTTTGCTGATAATTCTATTTTTGTTTTTTTTTTTTATAATTTTCATTAACCATCCTACTTTCATCTTAATTGCAACAATAGGCATAAATATGTATAAGATAGGATGAAATGATATTAGGTCGAAATCTAGAAAAATAACACTTTTATTGATTCTTCTTAAAAATAAATTTATTAATTTAACTGTCAAATTTAAAAAATTTATAAAATATATATATATTGTAAAATTTATAAATTAATAACCCGATTGAACAATATTTATTTTATTAGAAAATACATATGATCCAAAAAGAATTATTAAAATTATTATTCTATTAAATTTGAAAGCTAATGTACACCCATACACGCAATAATGGATGTGATATATTAAATAATAATTGAAATTTACATAATTTATAATTTAATTGAAAATAATATATTATTCTTCTTTCTCTCATGATATTAATGGCTGGGGAGGAAGACGGTCAATGCTCACATGGTTAGACTAATTAAGTATTATTATTATCATTAAAATAATTAAAAAATTAACTATTAAATATTATAAACCAAAGTTATTTTACATTCCATTAATAAATACGTAAAGTAGCATAATATATCTAATTAATAAATCTAAATAGGTGTCAATTTTATGATTATATATATATATATATATATATTTGTTTGCTATATTTCATGATTAGATTTTAATTTTTTTATATATAATTAGATTTTAATTTAGTGTTCTAGAACGTTAATATAGTTATTCTAATGTGAGTGTGCCTATATACTTGTATTGAGAATTAAACTGAGGTCACACGATTCCATTATCAATTTGTCAACTCTATGCACCACCTGTTCGTATAATCTGTCAATCCTCATCCCAATTCCTAACAATTATATTACCTGCAAATTTCTACTAGGGTAATTTATCTTCCCTTTTAAGAGAATGAAGAAAATTTCTCAAATTATTATTCTTTTAATATATATATGTACAGAATATTTTTCATTTAATAACGTACAATTTCTTTACTGTAATATATTCCTTGACGTGGTACAATTTCTTTTAAATAAATGAGATCGGTTCTAATCGTCAGCTCTGATTTGATACCTTTCAGCATTCGATATTCCTTTATCTTGGGTGGAAGAATATGAATAAATCTCTGGTAATCCAACCAGAATTTATAAAGGGGAGATGCAAACAATTAATTAGTTAAAGCTATTATATATGGAACTATAGATTATGGGGGGTATAGAACTATAGATTTTGCCCGAGATTAGGGAAGAGGACGAAGAAAGTTGATGATTGATTACTCAGGTCACTAACTACAGCAATCGCTTCTCAATATTTATTTGTTGGTAGTATATTATTACATAATCAAATACATGGACCAAAAGATGAGTCTCCACATTTGAAGTATATACGCTGTAATGTCACTGTTAACTTAAGTAGAATGTTGTTTAGTCCCTTTAACGCACCATGCCACCACCTATTAGGATTTGTTTTACATCTATTTTTATATAGTGCTTTTCCCAGTATTTTGTATGGTGGGATTCCACCAACTCGAACCTGATTGCATGAGATGAGTATAAATATTAGGACGTCCAGCGTTACTTTCGTAGTTAAACAAAATAAAGCACAGCTAGGCAATTTCACTTCTCACACACCTTAAAGATCGAGAGAGATTAATAAGAATAAGATCATGGGAACGTTGTTCAATAATGCAAAGCCATATCTGCTGTTGTTGGCCGTCCAATTTGGCTCTGCGGGCATGTTCATTTTTGCGATGGATGCTATCAAAAAGGGGATGAGCCATTATGTGTTTATTGTCTACCGTAATGCCATCGCCTCTATAACTCTCGCTCCCTTCGCATTTGTTCTTGAAAGGTCTTTTCTCCTAATAATATTCCTTTCGTTCGTAATTTATAATCATCAACCATGCATGTACATCATCAAACTCAAATACCCTTTATGTCCGTTTCCAGTTACAATAATTTGTATGCAATATTTTATAATCTAAAGTAGAAAATAAAGGGATATTCAAGTCTACTAAAAGAAACATTAATTTTTTGCAGGAAAGTTAGGCCCAAGATGACTCTGCGGGTATTTTCAGAGATTATGGCACTGGCTTTCTTTGAGTAATGATTTCAACTTATAAATTCCAGTTTATTATTATGTACCATTTATTGCAACTCCTTTCCGTACGTAAAACTACAACATGGTTAATGAAATTAAATATATGCTGTTAATTACTTACAGAATAATACTGGATCAGTGCTTCGCCCTTTTGGGCATGAAATTCACGTCAGCATCTTTCCTATCTGCTGTGATGAACTCCGCACCCTCCATTACTTTTGTCATGGCTGTTATTCTAAGGTATGTGTTCAATCAAATGATGCATTAACTACAAACTTAACTAATAAATACAAAACACTCTGAATAATGGTCCACCGGGGGATTGAGTATAGATCAAAACGCTTTACTTGAAAGCTTTAGGTCCAATTACCAGATTCCTATGGTATGATTGGGAGCATGGTTTAAAGAAAAAACAATCAAGGACAATTTTTTATTTTTCAAATAAAAAAATTATATAATAGTTTAAAGAATAAATAAAATATTAAGATATCAAATGCCTTTCTATTTTATATTTTATTAGAAATTATTAGATTTAAAATATTTATTATTCTATTATTATTTTTCTTAAAAGATAGTCCATCTCACTTAATTTTCTTAAAAGATATCAAACTTATTTGTTATTGTTGTATTAATTTTCTTAAAAGAATCTTATTAACTAATACTTTAAGAGGATACTAATAAAAAAATCAATAAATAATAATTTTTTGAAATCATATTACAATGTATTGAAAATCAGATAAGTAAATATTAAATTATATTTTTAATAAAAAAATATTTTGTAGTTCTTTAAATAATTCTTTGAAGCATTGATTAATACTTTTCTTTCTAAAATAACTCCCAAACGTGTTTTCTTCGTTGAAGCGACCAACAAGTATCACTTTAACTTTCTTTTGAAGTTTGACATGACTTAACTTTGGAACAAGGGATGTCCTTATTAATTTTTATGTACCTTTCTTAAAAGGCAAAAAAAAAAAAAAAAAAAATTCCTTGAAGAGAAACCAGTCTCAAATATTCATTTGGATGGAAATTAATCCAGTATGCATGTAAGTCACTTTCTATGTTTGCTAGCATCCACTATATGAACAGTAGACAACGAACGACGCTTCCTCTTCTAATGTTTTAAGTACCACTTTTTTAATAGCATGTTTGGTTCATTGGAATTTTAGAGAAATAATCATTTTGAAAAAATAATTTTTTTTTCAAATAAATTAAACATAAACATATAGTATATTTAAAGATCACAAAATTTGTTTATAAAATAAAGTGAGGCAAATATTTTTTATATCTATATATGCATAACGAACTTAAATAATTATAAATTAATTTTCTACCAAGATATTGCTTCACTGAACAAAGATTTATCTTCTTATGTGTGTATACATATATAACGATGTTAATAAGAAAACATAAAGTTTTTTAAAAAATATATAATTTTTTAATTTTTATATGTATTAATTATTTAAGATAAGTGCTAAGTATTAATGTTTATCTTTCTTATTCTTATATTTAAAAAATGATGTCTCCATGTTGTGTAAGTGCGGGTGAAAATAGTAAAAAAATTAAAGGATTTTGAAGGGGAAAAAAATCGACTTAGAATATTTAAAGATAGAGTAAATAAAATAATTGTTTTTATTACTTACCAATCAATATTGGTTTTTCTATTGTACACACCAACTGCATAAATTAAAGATCCAAAAATAAAAATTCTCATTACATCAATAAAAGAATCATTTATTAAACTTTTTAAATTTTGTTTACTCAATAACCTATATGCATTAAGTGCACATGATAGGAAAAAAAGAAGGGTTAATGTTTATGAAATAGGGAAAAGGTGTGTGAAATTATATTGATCATGGAACACCAAAAGTTTCATCCACGATATAGATATGCACAATTTATCCTTCTCTACTTAGCTAGTCGACCATCCGAAATAAAGTCACATAAATCGTGCATGTACACAAGCGTAAGAATGACAAAAACAAAAAACTTTATCTTTGTTGCAATTAGTGACTAAAAGTACCTAGAGAATCTTACATTTAATTTAGAATAATGTTCGAAATTTCTACAACATTTTATTCTCTCCATCTCTCTTTGTTCAATGTATCATTCATTTACTATCTCACTTTTCTCTCCTCTCTTTCATTTCTTTCAAGTCATAAAAATGTTTGGTAAAATTATAAGTTGGAATATGTTACTATTGAATTGATTAAACTAAGCAGATTGGAGCACATGAAAATTAAGGAGTTAGCATGTCAAGCCAAGGTACTTGGCACAATAGTAACTTTGGGAGGCACCTTGCTAATGGCACTATACAAAGGTCATGCAGTTGTGGGATCTTCAACCAACCACGTAGTCCAGCCTGAGAATGTGAACAACCCCACTAGCAGCCACTGGATCGTAGGGACATGTTTCATCCTCATTGGTTGTGTAGGCTTTTCTGCGTTTTACATATTGCAGGTAAGTTTAAGCATCAGATAATAAAATCACATATCTGTTAGTACATTATAGGAAATGATGCATGGTTTGGGGATTTGCAGACCATAACGTTGAGAAAATACCCAGTAGAGATGTCCTTGGCCACTTTGGTTTGCTTTGTAGGGGCACTTCAAAGCTCTGTTGTAGCAGCCTTGGCAGAGTGGCACCAACCTCATGCATGGTCTCTTGGTTGGGATACAAGACTTTTTGCTCCTGCTTATGCGGTCAGTGCTTTGAATAGATAGTATAAGATAATAAAGTGGAAACATATATAACAACGAGACTCAAATTGCTGCATTTCACCAATGGTTCTTTTCTTAATTGATTATAGGGTATAATCACATCTGGAGTCCAATATTACATACAAGGGATGGTCATAAAATCTATGGGCCCAGTTATTGTGACTGCTTTCAATCCCTTGCGTATGATCATCGTCACAGCCTTGGCTTGCATCATTTTATCTGAGCAACTCTACCTTGGAAGGTACTATAAATTAAGTAGAGAATGTTGTGATTTTTCATTTATGAATATACTGACTATATCTCCCTTTTTTTTCTATTGAATGTGAATATCAGTATCATCGGAGCAATAGTTGTGGTTTTTGGGCTTTATCTAGTTGTGTGGGGAAAATCTAAAGAATGCAAAGGTCGGATACCACCGTCCCCTGCAGAGGATGACTTTGCACAAAACCAACGACAGCTACCAGTCACGGCTAAGTTAGTCCCTCATTGTCATCAAAGCAACCATGGGGAGGCCACAATATCAAAATGATAAACCGAGGAGTATATATACTCAATAAAATTACACCAAAATAAATTATATTGTTAATAATTTTATGTGATATGTAAATTGTATCAATTCAACTGTGGAATTATAACTATGTATTATTTTAATTATTTATTTTAAATTTTGTCAAAATTAATAAATTATAACAATAGAATAAAATATTTATATTTTATATATTTTAAAAATATATATTACATTAATTTTGATATATATAAATTATATATTAAATAAATTTAAAGTAATCTAAAATTTTGTAAACATAATTTATGTAATAAAATTCTTTAACATAACAACTAATTTCAGAATAAAACTATTTAATAAAAACCCATCTTTCCTCACACACATATATATGAATTATTTAAAATAAAAATGAAAGAATAAATCTTAATCCTTAAATTTGATCTAAATAATTAATTTTCAAATATTAAGTAACATGGGATTTTAAAGTAATTAAATGACTGTTAAAAATTAAATATCTTGATCGCAACACCTGTGTCTCATTTATTTATGCTGAAGACAAACACGAATGCGCAGCCCAAAGCTCACAAGTAAGCACACTGCTCATATAAAAATTATGATAACACTTACATTTTCACACCTATTCTTCTTTAGACCATTTTTTATCACCTCTCTTTTAATTCTTTCTTTCTTTCTTTCTTCCTTCCTTTTTTTCTTATAATAAGTTTCAAGTTTGGTCTTTTTCTATAAACAGTAAAGTTACGCACCACCACACAACCATCACAATTGAACTTCAACTTGTGGTCCAACAGCAACTCTCTCTGACAATATCATGCATATGTGATGAATTTGCTGGGCAAAACTCATCAACTCCCTCTCTGAATCATATAGGAAACAAAGATACACGTCGTTTACAACAATAATGCCCTTATATTCAAATATTATTCTTTTTAAGCCCAGCTCATGGTTTAACCAAATAAAATCTCAAGCTCCAAAAAATTTATAACAAAAAAAAAAGAAGCATAATAAACATTTGTCTCTCTATTTCTTTTTTACTTCTAAACACTTCTCTCTTTCACTAGACTCTTAAATAAAGTACTACTAATGTTTGGGGCCTTGTAGGCCCAACAGGATTTAGTCTGAAAGATGGAGAGTGGTAGTTGGGCAACTATTGAACTTGTGGGCTCAAGTTTTATTTACTTTTTCCTTTTGGTCATCAGAATAAGCATTAAATTTTTTTATTTTTTTTTTGGAAATTGTGTTTGTCTGTGCCTAATCAGAGAGTGGGTTAATCTTTAGCAGGAATAAAGGTAGGAAATAAGTACACTACTAAATAATAAATAAAATATAAAATTCTGAAAGATTAAAGGAAACAAGATTAAATTTTTTAAATAATGGATAATAATAAAATTATTGAAAATATTATTTTCCGTACCACTTTATCGAAATGTTTGGCCCTACCATTTTATAATTGTGCTAATTTACAAGTTATTGATTGAAATAACACATTCTCATTGTTAGTTATTTTCTCTTGCATGTTGTTAATTAATTCACGTAACTATATATTTTAACGTTGATGTGTAACTTTTCGATCGTATTCATTATATGAGTCTTAAAAATTTATGTATAGTGAAATAACGGATAAATAAACGTAAAATCATCCCTTCTTTTTACTCTTTTAATATTTAAAATTATTTTTAAATGAGTTTATATTTATTTATTGATATAACTACATTATCTTAAGTCTTGTACAAATATAAATTTTATTTATTTGTTTGTTTTAAAAAATAAGTTACCTTTTTTTCTTATTTTAATATTCCAAATCAATTCAAGCAACGGTCTAACACTGATATGTAGCTTCACTGTCCTCGAGTATTGAATAAATTGCAAATAAACATGTGTGGCCTTGTCACCCTTGTGTGATGAATGTATTGAAAAGGTTTACACATAGATGCATTGCCTAAAAGGAAAATGCAAAGTTTTATGTTAAAAGTTATTTAAATTTTCTTTTTTATTTTGAATTATGTATAATTTTGATTTTTTTTAGTTAATTAAATTTTTAATTTTTAAAACTTAACAAATATTTAATTTTATTATTTTAAAAAAATATTCAATTTTATATTTAATTGATTAGATTATCTTTTATGTAAAACTGACCATCAGTGACGTTTAGTTAAGTAACTAAATTATAGTACATTGAATATTAATTTTTTATTTAAAATTTTATTTCCTTTAAAATGCTATCATTTAAATTTTATTTAAATTTTAAATCTTAAGACATTATATCACATTGAAGATATTATTTTTTTTAGATATATTAAATTATAAAATTATTATAATATTAATCTAGTTACTGAAATTAAAATTTTAATTTTAAACTTTAGCACATCATATCTATAAATATGATGTCTCTTAATTTAAATATATATTTTTATAATTTTCTCTTTAATTTCAAATGTTGTTTTTTTATTTATTCTTATTTAGTATGATGAAAATATTTATTATTAATAATAAAAATATATCATTTTAAAAATCTATTTAAACTTGAAAATACCGATTTAATATAAAGCATGTTACAATTATTTCTAGTAGAAAAAAATAAAGGTATTCATGGTTATTTGCGGTATAATCTTAGCTTTGATGTGGGAGCTGAGGGATAATGTTGACATCAATAGTGTGACGTAATTAATTATTATTAGGAATCTTCCTAAGAAAATAATTAAGAAATTAAATATTAGAAAGCAAAATTATTCGAGTACAATACTCAAATTAATATATAAAGTAGCTTAATCTAGTTAATAAGTCTGAATAGGTACCTTAATTTAATGATCCCAATTTAGGTTTAGAGTTCTAGAACGTGAATAAATATAGTTATTCTAACGGGAGAATACCTGTCCACTTCCCTTGTCGGTACAATTTTATTAATTCGCTAAAATAAAAATAATGGATGATTGGTTTATTTTGAAAAATTAAACTTGATAAAAACAATAATGATCATGGATGCTACTTTACTTTATTACATTCTTTTCAGTTTTAATATTCGTTTGGAATAACAATAAAACTAAGGGACAAGATACTGCTAAGAATATGAGACAAAGAGATGCATTACAACTGTTATTTGTAATGCCTATCTTTCTCTTATTCCGGAATTCCTTTTAAAATTCACGTTTAATTATGTACCTGTGCACACGTTTTCCGTATAATATAATTATTACCATAACTTTATAAATATTATTGTCGCCTAAACTGTGCTTCATTCAAGCGACACAATTATATCTGTTTTTTTGTGCTTAATTGTTAGTAAACTCATAAATTTTTATTTGGTAAACTAGTAACAAAAATTTCTCCAATACAAGAAAATGGTAACTAATGACAGAATCATTCTATGATCTACATCCAATGTTGTTCATTCATTTCTTTTTGTTTTAGTCAATATGATTAAATCATCACTTATATACATTTATGCATATTTAATATGATTCTACTATCAACACAAATTTATACATACACGTTTTTCAGTTTATTTGCCAAGCATCTACTTTTATTTTTATATATAATTTGTTTTTATTTGAGTTTAGTCATCCCAAACTAGTGATGAGTTATTACCACTTAGAGAACGGCTGTAGCTAGCTTATTTTTGCATGGTTTCTCTTCATCTGGTTGTCTCTCTATTACTATGATCTGATCAGAAATATAATTAAAAATAAGTGCGTATGACAAATTCATTCTATTTTATCTCATTTCATTTTATTTTACTTACTATTAGATATCTAATTATAAATGCCAAGATTTAAACTCTAAGATTGTAAGAAAAGTTTACATAATTATCAATATACTTTTATAATTTGTTGTACATCGTGTGTATTTTAATGTTGTTATATCGATTTTTATATTCATGAAGGTAATTTAGTTAAAATAAATAAATTTAATTACGATTAAATCTTGTATCGATCCCACTGTTCTTTTTAATTATATTTAAAGGACTTTTGTGTAAATAAAGTGTTTAAATAACTAGTTATAAACAAATTTGAATTTATTTGACAGAATTACTTTCACTTAAAAAATCTAAATATTGTCATTATCACTTTACTAATATTTTCGACCATATATAAATTCAGGAATAAAGTTTAAAACAATAAATAATACTCTTTTGATTTTTTTAAAAAGATAAAAAGGAACAAAAGCACTTTTCTAAAGACATTGACAAAAAAAAAATTATATTTAAAAATGACATAATATATCAAATATGAATATTTATTATAATACCGTAAATAAGTTTTCATACGTTTGAAATTCAAGATAACTCATTTGGTGACTGACTCATAATTATATGTCGAACTTAAATTAATTCAAGATATATTTTCTTACAACCGTACCTAAATTTACAATATGTTGTGAAAACTAGTTTTTTTTTTTCATGTTTTCAAACGAACAGAAAACTCAATTTTAATTTTTTTAAAATAAAATTAAACAGGTGGTTAAAGACAAAACTCTTAAATTTAAAAGAGGTGAATTCTCTATAAAGTAAAAGAGTAATGTTATTGTATTTTTGGTACAAAAGTTTCCTTATTTATTATCTTATAACTTCATAAAAAATAAATTTTAAATTCTTATCTATACAATGAATTAAAATTTATAGAAAAAATTATATAAAAATTTAAAACTATCCAATATCAAATTAATTCCCCTTAAACAGTCGTTTGGAAAACAACGCCGACAACCGCATTACCTTAATATCATGTCCATACAAATTAGCAGTCTAAAAGTTTGTAAAGTCTTACTTTTATCAACTAAGATCAATGCTTTGCCTTTATGTACGTTGATGATGTGCAAATTATTGGCCAATATCTTAAATTTTCTGTTTCGATTATATCGTTGTCACTTTCAATATGGAAAGTAATTATACATTGGATTATTTCAACTGCACAGACGAAACCACTGCCTCAGAAGAATTTTCCAAAAACTGAAGTTTCTCTTGCTACACGGCATTTAAGAAGTTTCTGTGATCAAATACAAAAAAACCATGT